CTAACTTTTATGTAACAAAGGTTTCATGGCACTGTTTTATCAGTCAGCATAGCAACAGGTGGGTTTTTGAGCTGCAGAAAGGATCATACTTTTTAAAAGCAACAAATTCTGATATGCACAATTTTAAGATACAGCAATTCAGGTTGATTTTTTTTTCGGTCATCTTTGGCTTTTTTCTTGAAAAATTAAATATACACTTTAATAAAGCTTTTTCAACATAACACCCAAAAAATGTTTTCATAACTAATTTACTTGCATTCTAAATTTAATTCACAAACTGCATGCATCCAAAACAAACAATAAACACACTCACTCCATTGAGTATGTGACACCAACTACAAACCAGTGATTCTCCCCATTAAGGGGATCACACATTACTTTGTAAATCCAATGATAGCTATGAATATAATTTCAAGGATTTTTGTGAATGCCTTGAAGTCTAAACATAGGTCCTGATGTTTAAAGAAATCTCTGCTTAGTGGAAAAGAATCGAGTCCAAAATCTTAAATAATTAAACAAGAACTATAGCATACAGTGAGGAAAATGGATTACTTAATAGTATAATTTTTGCCATAAGTGACTAGTCACTGAAATTACAATAAACCCTTATAAATATAAAAATGCTACAAAGACCTAAATGTAAAAATAAAAATTATAAAAGCCTGTAACAGAATGTGGCGAATACGTACAATCTTGGTTGGGCAAGGCCTCCTTAAACGAGGTAAGATATCTATTTTTCTCCAAACTGAAAGACTTGACTATGTAAATTTTAAACTTCTTTTTAAGCAAAGTACAGGCTTGGAGAAAAACAGATGCAAGACATATTAGATGAAAGATAAAAGATAACTAATTCCATATTTTAAAAAGAAACTAAAACCTGGTAAAATAAATTACTCAGTATATAATGAAAATTAACTAATAAGCAAAAGATGTTCAACCCAATTAGAAGTTAGGGAAATGCAAGTCAATACAAGATTATATTATTTCACAGCTTCAGGCTGATAAAAATTAAAAGCAGATAGCAACAACAAGTACTTGTGAACTTGTTGTCAGTGTAGATTAACCTCCTGGGTAATATATTTTTTTAAATAACAGATTCTTAAATCTGTGAAATTAGACACTAAATATATATTCTCTGTACCAGCAATCCTACAAACAATTTATTCTAGATTAAAAATAATACTAACACATAAGAAGTTAAATGGGCAAATAAAGGTGTTCCGCTAACATTCTTAGAGTACAAAAAAGGAATAGTTAAAAAATTGTGAGGGATACATGTACACAATGGAATACTACATAGCTATTAGAATAAATCAAATTTATGTATTTTGACTTAAAATGTCTATAATCTTAAATTTTAAAGTCACTGAATAATATGTACACCATGACCCTGTATTTAAAAGAAGATTAAAAATAACTGTTATGTGATGCTGGATAGTTTAGGAAAACCTATTTTTTTTTAAAGATTTATTTATTTATGCATATGGAACTGAGATACAAGCTGGAGGTGCAGGGGCAGTGAGAGGCTTCACCAGAGACATAGTGGGGAGAAGGACAGGCAGATTAAAGTACACTGCTGAGGGGAGCAGTGCGCTGGTCAGGAGAGGTCTGCTGCATCATGTGGGTCACCAGGGCGGGGAGGGGAACAGGATCTAGCTCATGCTGAAGTGGCTTTCACTACTTAGTGCTGTGCTTAACCTGTTGTGCCACCAGGGAACCCTATTTGTATGCTTAATTTCTCTAATGGTCAATGACTACAACTAAGTTTTGAATACATCTAAAGTTTTACTTGGGGTTTCACCATTAAAATACTCTCAAGTCAGGCCCTCCCTGGTGGCGCAGTGGGTTAAAGCACTGCACTGAGAATCTAAAGCCACTTCCGCATGAGTTCGATTCCCGCAGGCCGGAGGTGACCACATGGTGTGGCAGACCTCTCCTGACCCGCCCGCTGCTCCCCTCAGCAGTGTACTTGGTCGATCTGCCTGTTCTGCTCCCCACTCTGACTCTGGTGAAGCCTCTCACTGCCCCTGCACCTCTGGCCTGTACCCCAGTTCTGTATGTATAAATAAATAAATCTTTAAAAAAAAAAAAATACTCTCAAGTCAGGGCCCTCCCCAGTGCTGCAGTGGGGCAGCACTAAGAAGCTAAAGCCACTTCAGCATGAGTTTGATCCCTGGCCCCCTCACCCCCCAGGTGATCCAGGTGATCCACTTGGTGCAGCAGACCTCTCCTGATTCGCCCACTGCTCCCCTCAGCAGTGTACTTGTCAGTAGGTCTGTTCTGCTCCCCAGTTCTGTATGCATAAATAAATAAATCTTAAACAAAAAAATACTCTTAAATCAAGGGGCACACAGGCATTATTAAACATTTCAATCATTTGGACTATTCTGTAACAGAAAAGGCAACATGCAAAACTACTTTTAAGGGCAAAATGTTTTAAGTTTTTACGATGCCAAAATAAAAATGCTTTTAATGTTATAATTTTACAATTACAGAAAACGAGAATTTTCTTTCTGTAGCAGAAATAAACTATTTCAGTTGTTTCAATGGGTAATATAATTAGGTTCATTATATGGATATAAACAAGAAGCAGGCATTACACTAAACCAATTCCTTTGTGTTAGAAATTGGATTTTCTAGAATGGCATTCATTCCTAGCAATAAATGCAATTAAACACTAGTACTGCAGTTTAAATATTCTATCCAAACTGCTAAAACTTACTGTAATGTCAACAGAAAGTACCAAACAGTCTGGTATAATTAAAGAAGCACTTGATTTGGAATCAGAGATAACTGAGTTCCAATCCTGGCTCTGCCAACTTAGTAGTTATGTGGTCAAGTTATGTAACCTGAAATCTGTTCCTTCATCTGTAAAAATGGCTTTCTATGGTGTACTTGGAAGATCAAATATCATCACATATGAAAGTTCCCAGGACTGAATATGTCTGTGAAAACATGCATTCTTCTGTCTTCCCTTCTTAAGAAAGAATACTGGCAACAATTGTTTGAGCCTTTAAAAAAAAAAAAAGGCTGTTAACTAAAGTTACACACTGTATGACATGTTTCTGTACCACTCCAGAAAATTATTAGTTGCTTCAAGTACTGTGTGTTAAGGCTCATTTTCTTGGCTCACTTTTTGAGAATTAACTATTTCTGATGAAATTTAAAGGTTTCTTTCTTGTTAAAAAAATCATGAAAAAATGCTATTTTCTACGGCTGACTTTCCACATCTTTTTAAAGTCATTCAGATTGTGCCTAAGGAAACTACTTTCAAGTGCTATGAAAAAACTGTTAGGCAAAGAAGGAAAATTAAAAACTGAAGTTAATCCAAATCCACAGCAATGTGTGTAAGAAATTCAAATTACACAACGAACAATAGGTACACATGTTAATACCATTTCCAGCTTTCTCTAAGGGGAATTTCTTTCTGTATAGCTGAATCAATTAATGAAGCCAGAATAGAATCTGAATGTTATTTAAATGGATCTAAACAGTAAAAATTATAATGGTTAACCTTCAATATTTAAGTGAATTTTTTCCCATCATACAAGTTACACCTTAATATCATCCTAGTATGTAAATGTGATTAACTCTTCAAATTTGTAATTTTTACCCTAGAATTGAGGGCTGGGATTACCTTTAGCTCCTCTTCAATTTTAGCCACACTTCAGTTAGATTTATTTGATGTTCTTTAGCTTGCTGAAGTTTTCTGCAGTCTACAACTAGCCTCTATATGTAGTATTACCATTATTTTCTGATAGATTTTTCCTAAATATTAATCACCCACAGCAGCATCTAGTATAAATTATTCCGCTGCTGATATTTCAGTGCTGAGTTCTCAAAAAGTATTTCAAATGAAAATGAGGTGAAACTGTATGCATAAAAACACTTCATATTACTTTTCCATATTCAAATTACACCCTCTTGCGCTGATTTTTAAGTGTCGTGTACATTTTTAAATCAAAATTTATAGCTGACATTCTTTTAACACTCCTTCCCAATCCCGACTTTATCCAAATGCCAAACTCACTACTAATCTTAAATTACCTATTTCTGTATTTTCTGGTCTTTCACAAATTCACGATCCAACTTTTTGTCCTTCTGGCCTCTTCATTATTAAAAAGAGCCGTTACCTCCTGAAGGTACTTAACTTTATGGCTAACTTTTTTGCATAATCTTACTTTTTCTTTCTTAAACTTCACTCTAATTTCCCTATTAAGGTTCGCTCCTCTTCTAAATTCACATCAACACTGTCTTGCAGCAACGTACATATATACATCCCATTTAAGCTCAAAATATTAACTTTAGTTCTGCTAAAAATGAATTTAAATACCTGGGTGCCTTCTTCCAGGTACTCATGAAGCGTTCGATTTGCTTTCTAGTGCTACCTGACTAGGCAGCTTAATTCTCCCTCCCATCAGTTGTGTGGTCCCTTGCTGCCCCCAGCACAAGAGTGCAACTCACTACAGTGTATTTATTTTACCCACCATCATTTCCAAGCACCTCCCTCCATTTCTGCACATCTATCTCTTCGTAAACCTCCCCATTTCCAAGAGCTTACTTTCTAGGTGCCCACATATCAAATTAGACACCCCTCATCTGACATTACCCGGGTTTTCTATTTGACTTCTAGACAACACGCAAGGCTGAGCGTTTGTCTCCTCCAGCAGAACCCGCTCCGCCGAGTTCAGCCTTCTCTTGTTCTCTCTCCCCGTAGAATGCCTACTTTGGGGTAACCCTCCAGCTCGAGGAAATCGAACCTTGCAACCTCTGCCCAGTGACCTCATGAGGCCAGCATGCAACTCATGCTTAATCCACACCGTTCTTGGACCTTGTATCCTAGATACCCCCAGGTTCAAGCTCTCTTTGCAACCTCTTTCAGCTCCAGCCCCCGAGCCAGAACCCAAGTTAGATGTTCGAACGCCACTAGCTCCCGTAGCAATGCCTCCCTGGCCCGGCCCCTTTTAAACCACTCAACTCAGAGTGGCTCTGCTCCTTACCTAGCTTCGATCGGGACTCCTCCAGTTTCTGAATTTGGTTCTCCAAGTAAAGCATCGCCACCGCGAAGGCCACCACCGCCAGCAGCTGCAACTTGGGCGGCATCATAATCCTGAGGAGCCCCATGAAACCCGCTGCTCGGGATCAAGACATACCGCGGGGGGCCGGGAGCGGGATCCGGGAGGCGAGGGAGATGCCGGGAGGAGCCCACCGAGGAGGGGAAGAGGCAAGGAGAGCGCGACAGCGAAAGAACCACCGCAGCGACCCCCCTTCTCGCCTCCCCAGTCCCCCGCCCCCAGGCACCAGCACCAACACCGCCGATGCCCGCTTCTCCTCCGCCGACTCAATGGCCACCTCCTCCAAAAGCCCGCGCAACAAACAGCGCGAAGCGGCTGCCGGGCTCTCGCCTCCCTCTACTGCCTCAGTCCCCGACCCCCGCGCCCGCCTGCCTGCCCGCCTCTCTCTCTTCCTCCCTGCCCTCCCTCCTTTGCTCGCGGCCGCGCGCTCTTCCAGCAGCGCTGCGGCTGCGCCGCCCTCGGCCCCGCCCCCCGCCCATCCCCCTCCGCCACCACGCGCACGCATCCACGTACGCTGCTCGGCAACCGGAGGCTCCACCCTCTGCTCCGTTTGGTGGTGTTTATTGGACCGAGGAACCCCAAGGCTTCGCCAGGGGTTAGTGTTACGGTTGGTTTCCTTTGACATGAGTCTCAACCAAAGCGGCATTCGATTGGGTAGATTTGGACAAGGAGGCAGGCCGAAACTGACGAAGGCGGGGCTTCTTGGGTGCCTGACGAAATGTCGTGAATGAAAGCAAGGAGCCCAGGAGGCAACAGATTTGGGGAGTTTAGGAGAGTGCCTGATTTGGGTTCGCTAAAGGACCCGGCCCCTTCATAGTTCCATTAGATATAAGGATGTTTGATCACCTTTAGGTTTGCATATACCTTTAGGTAACACCCGTCTCTGTAGAACATGAGGGTTGATTCAGTGGCCGTTGGCAACCTCTTTGGATCAGGCTCTGTAGTGGACACCCCTAGCTGGGGGGGTCCTCTGCGCAGCCAGAGACCAGCGGAAGATGGCGGCGATGGCGGGCGGGCGAGGTGGGTGGTTTGGGCCACCGTTTGGGCTGCGGTTGCTTTTGGCGTCTGTGATTCAAGCGGTGAGTGGAGATCACCTTCGCGGCGGTCCCAGGGAGAATGGGCGGGTTTGCGCTGAGGGAGACGGAACGTTCCGTGCACTTTGGGAACCACACTTGAAAAACAGGGAAACTGCTGCGGCCGGAGTGCTACGTGGCTTAATTCCCTTGATGCTCTGGCCGCCGGTTTTCTAGCCGTTCTTTCTTCTGACCCAAGACTACCTTGGATATTTCTCTTGCAGAACTTCGGCTCAAAGCAGTTTGAATTACGCGGTTAACAAAAACAAAACAGTAAACTGTAGAAAGCACTGCATATTATTTTTAAACAGAGATCACTTCCTTGTGATAAGTCTCCCAAAATGTAACGGAAAGCCTTCTTGTCTTTGGTCCAGAGTACGCTTCTGTTCTAGCTCTCTCACTTCTACTTCACTGTTAGACTTAGTTTTTGCCTAGGTTCTCTCTGGTGTTCATATACTGCTGGGTGAATGAATCTCAGTGCTATTCGTGGTTTTGAACAACTTTTTTGTAATGAAAGGAGCTGTTCTATACGAAAGCGTCATTTTTTAAGTGGATTTTCCAGAATTAAGTTTGTCATGTTTAAAGTCGGTTGGTGTTACTTTTTTTTTTTATTTAATTTTTCACCAGCAACAGAACAAATAGTTCTTAATCTTTAAATGAGGAAAGACTTTTCCCTGTTCATTCGCAAAAACAACTAAATATTGGCTCCGGAGTTAAGAAGTTTGTAGAGGCGTAGCTTTGTTTTTAACTTTTCTAATAAGCACTATATCCGGGAACTTGTACATGTTTCATGTGTCACTTTTACTTCTCAGGTATTTTCCTTACTGAGCCAAATGTTTTCTTTTTCAAATTGACCTATGAATTTAAATTTAAGCTTTGAGAAATTAGCGTCTTTACTGAATGCCTCTATAAACACCTCTGGAATTTTAAAGGAATTTGAAACATCTTGCCTGTTTGCGTTTGCAAAAGAAAAGCAGAAACGTAAAGGATTCTCTTAAATCCCTTATTATTATTAAATATTTTATTATTCAGGCATTTGGTACCTTGGGAATTACTAGAAGACCTAGTAGTAATTCACTACCATGCAGAAATATAAAAGAATAGCATTTCAAGTTGCCTTCTGATTCCCCAATCTTTTTGTTTCACTTATCTCTGGCTGTGTAACCTCACCTAAACCTGGTAGCTTAAAATAATGCGATTTCTTTATAATCCTGTGAATCTGCTGAACAGTTTCTCTATTTCCTCTGGTCACATTTATGCAGCTGTGTTGACCTGGTAGGTCAGCTGGATTAAGTTTGTGCTTTCAGGGTAGTCTCATTTGACTCTCCTCAGTGTGACCAGTCATCCTTCATCCAGGAGATTAAACTGCCTCCAATATGGCAAAACACCATTGTGGTAGAAGTAGCATTCCTAAAGAGCAAAAACTAATGCTCCCTAAGACCTAGCATTGAAAATCACATACATCATTTCTGCCACATCGTATTTGTCAAATAAAATCCCAAGGCAAGGCTAGATTTCATGGGTGAAGAATAGACTATCAGCGTGGGGTGAGTGATTTGTCTCATTGCAAAGAAGTGTACATATCACAATATTGGGAACTCAAGGCTAATAATACACAGTTTAACACAGTGGCCATCCATAGAAGACAAGCAAGAAATTTGGATATCATCTTTGACTCCTTTCTTTCCTTATATATCTCACAGTCAACCAGTTACCTTGTCTTGTTTTTCTTCTTAAATATCTGAAATCCATCCATTTGTTTTATATCATTCATTGAGCCTACCAGCATCTCCTGAAAATAACAGCCTCCTGGTTCACCCTCTAAATGACCAGAGTCTGTGTGTGTGTGTGTGTGTGTGTGTGTGTGTGTGTGTGTGTGTGTGTGTGTGTGTGTGTGTCTTTGCCTTTTGCCTTTGTTTTAAATTCTCTTTCCTTTCAGATTCTAAATCCAATTATTCATTAAGCCCAGAAGTCTTCAAATCATCCACCTAATTTTAGTTTCACCTTAAAAATCAAACGACCATCTTTGCTTGCCTGGAATTAGTACTATAATTTTTTTTTAAAAAAAGATTTATTTATTTGTGCATACAGAACTGGGGTACAGGCCAGAGGCTTGGGGCGGCAAGAGGCTTCACCAGAGACAGTGGGGAGCAGAACAGGCAGATCTACGAAGTACACTGCTGAGGGGAGCAGCGGGCTGGCCAGGAGAGGTCTGCCGTGCCATGTGGTCATCTCCGGGGCAGGCAGGAATCGAACTCATGGGGAAGTGGCCTTAGACTCTTAGTGCTGTGCTTTAACCCGCTGCGCCACAAGGGAGGGCCGGTACTATAATTTTTTAACTGCTCTCTCTATCTAAAATCTTGGAAGTATAAGATGTGCTGAGAACATATAAACCCTATGTTTTAGTAAACCTCATACCAGTACTTCTAATTGGAGGAGTATATGAGTAGAGACTGTTAAAATACAGATGCTTAGTCTGATCTGAGTCAGAAATCTGTGACAACTCTGAACTAGTAATTGCAAACCGGGCTGAAACTTTTTCCATCCTTTTCTAAATGGAACTCTTACACACAAGTAAGCCATCAAGTAACAGTGCTAATTTAAGAGTCTTAACCACAGTATTCCACTTAAATATTCTCAAGAATGGTGATCCTATACAGTCTCTCTCTATTCTTGTAAACTGCCTACCTAATTCATACTTACATTATAGAGCACCTTAGTGAAAAGAACACTAAACTTTAAGGTAATCTATTTTCTAGTTTTCACTTCTAATACCTGACTGATTGAAGGCAAATTAATTTACTCTGAACCTTCGTTTCCTTATTTCCTTCTTTGTAAAGTGTTAATGAAAAATGTAAGGCTTAATTCACATCTCATTTCTACATGTGGAAAGTCAGATATAATCATAACCCTGTGTTCTTTTTCATCATACTTAATGCTTGTGTGGACGCTGATCAACAGTTTTAGTCACACCATAGATTCTCCTCCTCTTATGCCACTTAGAATGTATCCAGAGAGAATACAGAATACATTTTCTTTCATAGTCATCATTATTTGTTCTCCTAATTCATTTTGTACTGTCCTATCTGAGTTATCCAGGGTATCTGCAGTTTATGTAGAGCAGCAGTGGACCCCAACCACTCCTACAAATACAAACTCCAAAAATTGAAAGGATGTCCTGGGCAATTAGGTAAATTTAACATAGGAAATGTTGAACTGTTTTAACTTCCCCAAGGTTTATTACTTTTTCTCTTGTGTAATGACTAACGTGTCTAAGAAAAGGGAATAAAGTCCTAGAAAATGAAAAGGCAGGTATATGGGGCATTATTGAAGAAAAAAAAAACATTAACTTAGAAAAGCTGTATTTCACATTTAGCGGGAGAAGGGGAAAGGCCAGGTGGAATAGGTAATAGACAGTAGTGGAAATTAGCCTAGTGTTAGGAACCTAACAGTTTAATAAAAAGAGAAAGGGAAGAATTTCTTGGCACCTTGGGATTGAGTTAGTGGTGCTGACTGAGGACTCAACTGCTATTTTGCTAATTCACACCTTCTGAGTCTTTAGATTAGATAAGCTGTGCTTTTATCACTGTCTTTGCCTCTGAATAGCTTTAATTTAAACTTAATAGTAATACATCCTTATCAACATTCCAAGGAGGTGACAACTGGGAAAATGTAAAGTGATTTAATTTGAAAATACAGTTCTTAGTAAGGCTAGGTAATAGAAACGCATTATTTTAGTGCAGCCTAAGGGTGTTGTTTTCAAGATCATCCCAGAACTAAGTGGTATTCACTTCTTCATTCAACTCACGCATTGTTTCTTGGTTCTGAGAGGCACCATATTGAAAGGCAGTATAGAATGATAATATGTATTATTGATTCTGAGACACTAGTTCATCCAGCCAACCCCTCCCCCTACTCCCCAACTCCATTTTCTTACACATTAACATCAGGATCAGTCTTCTGTGGATTGCACAATTGTAATTCTAAACATTTTTGTTGTTATTCTTAGTGGTATATACCACAATAGTTCATCATGGACTTTGTGAAATATGGTAGTTAATAACAGCAGTTAAAGATTTTGAAGGTAGACTAGAATTGGAATTTTGTTATCACTACTTAGTATTTGCTACATAGACTTATACACGTTACCTTAATTCTCCTAAATTTCTGTTTCCTAGGAGTAACAATACTTATTTTATAGGAGATTAGATTAAATGGGACAATAAAGTACTTAGCAGAATAGCTGGTGCTTTGTAAGAGCTTGCTTGCTATATGGGCCATGTTTCTGTTACTCATTTTCATAATATTACTCTGTTAACCCATCTATCTGCTTTTGTCTCAGATTTTAAATCTGACCAAACTTACTTAAAAAATTTAGGAGTTTTCTGAGAGTAGAGAATACTTGAGAGACAATCTTATGTATATGAGTATAAATAAAATATATAGCTATACTAGATTTTTGTCTCAAAACTTTATTACAATTTAGTTATTCCAGTTTCCCTGCCACCAACATTTAACTCCAAAGAAATCAATAATACCAGAAAAATACTGCATTACATAAGGTAATGGAGTCGTTTAGCTTATCAGTCCTTTGAAATGGGGCAAGTAAAACTAGTAAATGATTGTTCCAATCAAGATTATCCTACCTTGTTCTTAAAATCTGTGTTTCTTACAGTATGGTTTGAAATTTATTTTTGAACTTATTTATTTTTAACTTAATATTTGACCTTAATGTGCTTGTGTAAATGCTACTCAGTTACTTCTGGGTAGTTTAAAAAAAAAAAAAAAACAGGGGTAGGTATAATTCTGAACTCTTATGTTTTAATATTTGGTATTCATCTATGAGTCTTTAAAATTGGTTCTGATATCTTTAGACTCAAGCTGTCTTTAAAACCAGTAATAGAAGAGTTAGAAACAAGTAGTTCACTCAAGAAATTAATGATGCCTGTATTACATTTATACTTATCTTCTGTGATACACCTAAAATACAAGTAGTGTCTATAGTTTTTAAGTGTGCCTCCACAGTGAAAAGTGGAAATAATGCTAGGATCTCTTATATATCCACTTTGTTATGGGTAAGTTACTGTGTGCTTTCTGTACTTTTTCTCTAATCCTCAAACTCTCTCAAGAGGCAGTTATCCCTATTCAAATAAGTAATATTGCTCTCTGCTAGCATTTGAATTAAGATGTTTTCAGACTCCAAAATACACATTTCATGTATTCGTGCTACTTGTTAGTAGGAGATCAGTAAATTTCAGAATAGAGCCAAATAGTGCAATTGCATGATTATTCATGTGAGAGTATTATTTTGTAAAACATGTTGAGGTAACAGTTCAATTTTTTTTTACATTTTTGTGTTATTGACTGCAAAATATATGACCCTAAAAGTTAATGCTGTACTATATTTATCTTACATTCAGATTCTGTGGGCCAGCAACTTAGACAAGCACAGTTTGGATAGGTTTGTGTTGCATGGTGTTTTACACCTCAACTGAAAGGTAGGAACCTGAACAGTGAAGTCTTACTCATACATCTGGTCATTGGTGCTGGTTTTCAGCTGAAGATCTCAGATGCCGGATCTACAGAGACCACACTGTGCAGTCTCTTTGGTTTACATTACCTTGGTTTAGGTTATCTTGCAGCATGAGTAACTTAAGATCCAGAGTTAAGCTACCTTTACCACATGTTGGCTGATTTCCAAAGTTGAATGTTCTAAGAGAAACAAGACACTGAACACATGGGAGTACTAGCCAAGCAAGGAGAATTTCCTTTTTATTACCACCCTAAAAAATCACAGTATAATCACTTCCTTTTCATTCTGTCAGAAAAATCACAAGTCCCACCCAGAATCAAGGGAAGGAACATAGATTGCCACTTCTTACTTAGCAAAGGAGTGCCAGTTACATTGTGAGAAAATCTTGTGGGATATTGGTTAATCATATTTAAAAGACATTCTTGCCTGTGAAATAGATCACTAAGCCTCGTCTATCTTGAAGATTTGTATAGTCCACATGATTACTAAGGTAAAAGTTATATAAAATGTCAGTTTAGGCTGTTAAGACCAATTAAATGGCTAGCATGTGGGGGAAGTATGCCAGTAAATTTTAGACATTGGGAGTGCCATTGCATTCTAACTTGGCTCATTCTAGAAGAAAGTTGACAGAATATATCCAGTGGGCAATGTCAGTCAGTTCTATTTTTATAAGTAAGGTTTTATTGAGGCATAGACTCCTATTCATTTATTATTGTCTAAGACTGCTTTTGTGCAATCATACTACTGATTGAATTACTACTCAGTAATAACTGAATAGTTGCAACCGAAACCACTTAGACTCTGGAGTCATGTAATTAATTGAGGCTATAATTTTTAACCAGTTCTCATGTAAGTTCAAACATGAGAACTAGCACAAGTGCTGGAAGTACAAAGAAACAACTTTATACTTGCCCTCAGAAGGGTTCACAGTATGGTTGGGGATCTGACAATCCTAGATTGACATAGTGCAGTGTCGTGGGTGGTGCTGTTTTACAGCTATACACATTTCTTTCTCAGCGAAGTACTATAGCTAAGGGAACTGATTTTTTTTTAATTTTTTCAGAGAAGGCTTTCTAGAAGACTGATACTGATTATGTTCTTTGAGATTACAAGGTGAAAAAAGTCTGAGATGTTGAGAAAAGTGTGAGCAAAAGTATGTCTGAGTAGTTATACTTGCAAGGTACTATAAGAGTTCATTATAACTGAAAAGTAGAATGAGATTGGAGAAGTAATGAGAGTTAGGACTAGCAGTTGCTAGGATTAGCAGTCACCATCTGTATGAGACAGAATTTTGGGAACTTGAAATATTATTGTTTGTGAGATTGGTTAAGAGTTTAGAATTGGGTGATCAACTTGGGCAACTAGATGATCAGGGTAAATGGTGCCACCTCTGCTTTACACCTGAGGGGTAGGAGAACCGCAAAGGAACAGCGAGAGGAGGCTGATTGGTTGATAGTGAATGATGATTAGACATTTGGTTGTAGACATAGTATGATAAATGTACAGTTGCTGAGGTGAGAAAGTACACCTGAAACTTACCTACTGTCGCCAACCAAAGTTACCTGAAACTTAATACTTTTTTAATGATGTTACTTTACAAAGATACTGAGTGCATTAGGAGGAATTGATTTAAGGAGCAAAGGGATAACTTTTCTGTAGAGGATTTTGAATTTGCCATGTGCAACATCACAATGATATATCCAGTAGAGAGCTTCATGAGCTTAACATGCAGGTAAAAGACTTGAGTTTGCAATAAACAGGTAGAGCCTATGGATCAAGATGTGGTTGTGTTGATATGTAGAAAGTATGAAAAGGAAGAGAGTCACAGATAGAAAGGGAAACAACAGTATTTAAGAATGCCTAGTAGAAGGAAAAGGTCAAGCCCATGCATGGAATGAGTAGCTGGAGTAGAACAGTTTGAATGCCTTTGCTTTTAGTAATTTTTTGGTAAGTTTGTATGGTAAGGTTAGAAACCAGACTAAAGTAACAATTATGAAATGGCAGAGTGGTGGGAGAGCAGTTAGACCCATAAGGCTTGAATACACTGAAGAATTAAATTATTGACATGAAATCCTTATGGGGATAGCAGTAGATGGAATCAAAGCGTGGGTAGAGGGATATACAGCATTCACTAAGACAGGAGAAGAAGGAGTCAGGGAAGAGAGTTAGTTTTTAAAACATGTTTTTGTCAGTCATTCTGATCAGTTACTGTATACAAATCCTATATTTCATCTCTACTACAATTTATGTAAGAAGTATTAATCCTTTATCGGTGAAAAATATGAAAGCATAGGGAGGTTATGCTGGGTCACACATCTTGTAAATGGTAAGCCGCAGTGTTGGTGAATAAAGAAGTTACATCAGTAGTGGAGGCCTAGAATTAAATGTTAACTCCATAGATCTCTGTAAATAGGTGCTGAAACTATAAATTCATTTTCTTCTGAAGAAAATTTTTTAATGTATTGAATGTTAAATAAAATATGTCTTTTTTGCTTAATAAGAATGAAAAATGACAGAACTTTCTCTCTTTTCAGGTATCTGCATTTGGGGCAGAATTTTCATCAGAAATGTGCAGAGAAGCAGGATTCTCCAGCAATTTGCTCTGTAGCTCCTGTGATCTTCTTGGACAATTCAACCTGCTTATGCTAGATTCTGATTGTAGAGGATGCTGTCAGGAAGAAGCGCAATTTGAAACCAAAAAGGTATTGTTTTTATGATATTGCATACACTTATATATACTAGGTTTGTTATTAATTGAGCACACAGCTCAGTTAATGGTATCTTGATACCTTACAGCAGTTTCAGCAAAAATAAGTAGTTGGTAAGTAGTCTGTCAGTTAATAATATATCCCACTAGTTATAAACTAAAATGGTATTATCTATGTAAATTTTCTTTTATACTGTATCCATTGATTTTCCTCCTCATCCCTAACCTGTGGTCTCAAAGATGTGCCTCTCATTAAGCATTGCAAACAGACTGTCGTACAAAATCAGTGCAATAAGAAGCCCTCAATAAGCCTGGTGAAACCAAAACATACCAAAAGCAGAAGTATAAAAATATTTTATATACTGAAAATATGCAGACATATGAAATGTTGGACAAGTCACCTTTTAGATTCAAACCACATGCAAGTGTAAAAGTGGTGCTTGATTTATCTGTATAGCCCAACTTTCTGGAATATTGGTATTTGATCATGTTAGTCACATGATCTCTTGATTTTGGCCTAAGACCTTAGAAATTGTGATGTATAGATTACTGCTTTGTATAAAGAAATTTAAAAATACTTAAATATGACTGTATATATGAATCATTTTGAGTACAAATTCTTTAGAAGAGAAGAATTGTAGTTTATCTGCAGTAGTTTACCATTTATATATAATAAAGAAATGTTACCAGAATACTGATTTTGGTTTTTGCCTGCTTTAAAGTATGTCCAGGATTGAGACTTTCAGAGATCTTGTTCATTTTATATATGATTGCCATAAATATAAAATTTGCTTTTTAAAAAAAAGTTAATTCACAGAAGGAATAAAATGTTTTTGAGGTCCCTTATCATTCTGAAAATAGTCCAATATTTTTATTAGGTTTTATTTTTCCCCCATTTCAATCATAAAGAATCTAATAAGCATTACATACACTGGCAAGAAAGTGATTTTCTTTTTTTGATAAGTTGTTTTACTTTTTTTAAAACTAGTTTTGCTCCTAACGAGGTACCTAAGTACAATTTGCAAACACTAATAAGAATGTTGACCTAAATCTGAAGGTAGCTTGAAGAAAAACTATAAGCTAATAAAGGAAACGTATTTAAATCTTGGCACTATTTTCAGATCGCTAGTATTTACTAAATCACAGGCTTGAGTTTTTTTGTTCAGAATCAAGGTGCAAGAGAACCCACCACTGTTTTTTCCCTCTACCTGACATTTTCCTTGTTTTAAGAAAATATAAGTGACTACTATTCCTCAATATTGTGTCTTATACTTTCTCCCACCAGAAGAGGACTCATTTTCCCTCTTGTACTTTCTTGAAATATTTTAGATAAGCATTATTAAACTAGCTCAAGTTTAGTCATCAACCACTTACTAGCTATGAATATAGAAACCGGGAGAACCATTAACAACCACCATAGCTATGTGAGTTGTTATATACGGGAGCAGACCAGTGAAGCAGTTCTCAGAAGCAGGTTGAGTTGTATTTTCTTTTCAATTACTAGAGTAAACCACTTCTGCTTGTGCTGAGTTTAAAGCTTGTGCTTGTTTGCCGTCTTCTAGGAAGTCTTCCCTAATTTCCCCAACCTTATCCAACACCACTGCCATAACTAAGAGATGTTAGTTTACGTATTCCCAAAGCACTTGAGGATAGCTTGATTTGCTCCTACCCCCACTATACTGTATCTGTTGTTTTGCTTTTCTCTCTCCCAATAATTTATGTTCTTTGAAGTCTAGGATGTTTTATGTTTCTGATCCCCAGTGTTTGCATATAGTTTTTCATGGTTTGTTTGTTTCCTTGAATAAGGCTGTTTTTACTAATTAAATTTAAAAATGTGATCTTTTTAAAAATTATGTTGAAAAATACATGGGAACTTAAGTGTTTGTTATGTACTTTTCCCCATATTTCTCTTGCATAGCCTGAATATAAATTTGTCTCTATGTTGACAGTTATCTACTTGTAACACATGTTTACATTCATCTAATTACTATAAATATAGTCCTCTCATATTTTATTTGAAAAGACGGCATAAGTATTCTACATATTTTTATAATCTTTTCAGGTGTATAAATTTTATTATGACAGCAAGGTGATTTTCCTTGTCTTCTCATTCAGGTTTCCATATCATATCTTAATATGGAAGAAGTTTAATGATTCCAGATTCTTTTCAACATTATTTTTGTAGAATTTTTGTATTTCTCCTTAGTTACTTGTCTGTATTTCCTTAATTGACACCTGCTTTTTTTTAAGATCTTGGTTTACCAAGATTCTTGTAATCCCATTGCTTTCTTTATTTTTCATTTAAAAATTTTTTTATTTAATTGCCTTTAGTATTTCTTTCATGTTTATACCTGCCTTATCTCTGAACTACTTTTCTGAAGGCTAGTTATCAAACCAGAGCATCTTCCAGGAGAAGAGAATGCACTTAGTTGAATTACTCATGAACCAGTAAGTAAATTATTTCAGCTTAATTTGCTCATCATTCAGTCTTAATTGTATTGTAGGGAATTTAGTGGTTCAAAGCACAGGCTCTGGAACTAAACTACTTAAGTTCAGAGCCTCCTGTGCTTCTCAGCTGTTGATCTTAAAGATACTACTTAATCACTCTATACCTATGTGCTCTTTTATAAATTGGAAGGAGTAGTAGTTCCTGTCACATAGAATGGTCATGAGGATTAAATGAGTTAATACAGGTATACTGACTAAAATAGCCCTGCTGTATTATAAGTACTAAGTAAATAAATACTTGGGGCTAGTGATACTGACAAATCGCAGCAGCAGCAGTATGTTTTTTTGTTTGTTTTTTTTTTTAAAGATTTATTTATTCATACAGAACTGGGGTACAGGCCAGAAATGCAGAGGGTGAGAGGATTCACCAGAGACAGAGTGGGGAGCAGAACAGGCAGATCGACGAAGTACACTGCTGAGGGGAGCAGCGGGCGGGTCAGGAGAGGTCTGCCACGCCATGCAGTCTCCTCTGGGGCAGGCAGGGATCGAACTCATGCTGAAGTGGCTTTAGCTTCTTAGTGCTGTGCTTTAACCCGCTGCGCCACCAGGGAGAGCCCAGCAGTATGTTTTATTAGTGAGAAAATGCAAGAAAAACAAAATTTGGAGAAATTTGAAAATAGCATAATAACTGTTATTGACAAAGTGTAAAGGAAGTAGATCCAAAATGTTGTATTACTCTACCTTCAAGTTCCTGAGGCAGTTGAATCAAGAAGAGAGGTGCCTTATAATAATAAAATTAATGGTTTTAAAATTATTCCCATTTGCAGCTACATTGTGTGCAATTAAAAATAAAAATGTCAAATGTAGTACTCGATTTCAAAATTGTAGGTCCTGCTGATTGACTTTTAATAAGGAGGATGATACACCTTGAATTTTAATAATGTAAGACATTTGATTATTTTAGACTGTTGTAAAAAATTTTTTGCAAAAAATTTCAAAACCACTGATACAGTGATGCTCAGTTTTGTCAGGACGCTATTCTGAAAATTTCAAGACTCACCTTTAGAATAAATACATTTAGAATAAAATCTGTCATTGGTTTTCAAACTTCCTTGGATAGCACATCAGGTAAAGCCACAATATTCTTTGAAACCAGAAATAATAATATAACCGAAAGTAAACTACTTTTGCAAAACAAAAATAATCACTTTGTGAAAAAGCATGCTATGAAACTGATTACAATTATTTGATTTTCTTACTAACATTCCCCTATTGTTTATTCATATTTTTATTTCAATATTGCCAACAAATTTCAAAGGTTTACAAGAAGTGTGGAAAAGAAAAGCTTAGAAGTGATTTTTTAAAAAACAAACTACATATTAAGAGATTTCTTTTATTTGAATTTTGAAACATACTTGTCTATTCTTTGACTATCAGTAGAAATCCAGGCTGTAGATCACTAAATTATACCATTACTGGTTCTGGGAAATTGCCCAACAGTTAAAAAATCTACGTTTAGGTAATAGAAAAGGAATTATCCTCAATAATAATCATTTTATACTAGATTTGAATGAATGGATCTAAGTGGTATATAAAGTAAAATTAAGAATATAATTAGATCCCCTCCATTTCCCACTCACCTAGTTGGATTAAAGTGAATTGACCAGCTTTATGTAGTAGCATTAACATTTTCAGTATGTGTTTATACTGCCTTCACATTTACATGTACTCCAGAGACAGCACAAAGGTAATATTATGGTTTAAGGTATAATTTATTAGAAGTTTATCGCCTTTTCTGGAAGGAGTTAAATTTTTATCTCCACTCTACTTTTTGTCTTTAACAGATTACTCCAGAATCTTCAGTTGAGGCCCAACCAAATAACAATTTAAATAATCACATAATTTTTCTTGATTCTGATTACTACACATCAAAACATTTATTTTCAGTACATGGAAATTCTATAAGCAATTTCAGGGTAATTAAATCAGCTTAAACAGCATTATGCAAGACAGTCGCAGATTTCAAGCTTTGACCCAACAGAAATAGACTGCTACTAGTGTCTAAAACACAGATGGATGAAATGGAGGTTAAGATAATTGTGTGTGAAATTGTAATCACGAATAGTTTCACTTTTGTAGTGTGTCTGTAGCATCAATACATGAACTAATTTCTTTAAAGGAAACAAAAATATAAATGTTCAACAGGTTATTCTAATTATAAAAATATTCTCAAAGAAACTTTCCTTAAAGATCTGAATAATGTTTGGCAACAATTCAAATTCAGTGAAATTATTAAGACTCCCAAGTACCAGTGTTACTAAATAATGACACAAATACTTTTTTATGACACCTTTATATAATAATAGTAATAATAGCAACTAATATTTCTTAAATTCTTACATGATAGTACTCTCCAGGCATTGTATGTGAATTGATTTATATAATCCTCACAAAAATTCTGAGGTAAATACCATATTGCCCCCATTTCATAGTTGAATTTGAAGCAGAGATCTTTTCTTAAGTCATATAATCAAGAAATAACTATAA